GGTTCCTTTGAAGGGATATAAACTCTCTAGCTTGGGGTCATAAAACTCCTTGAGGTTTTAGGATGTAGAAAAGCCCTGCTAGGGAAAATTCTTCCTCCCAAATACACTGAGAGCATGTTTTATTGCTCCAAGATAGTCCTCACCACATTTTTGTCCCTGCTAGAAAGTGCACATCACAGATTTGATTTTAATTGCATGCGTTTTCCCCTGAATCTGTAATTCAGCGTATCAGCTTTAGGTAAGGGATGTTCTAAGACACCTCTGAGTGATGCTGCTGGGGCTGCAGGTCGGGTGGTCACTATTTCAGACTGTTGCAGACTATTCCAGACTATTTCAGACTGTTTCAGACTATTTCAGCCTAGCACCTGCAATACCAGGATTAGGACTTGTACTAAATACTTCCCACTAATTTATCCATCTCCTCCATTTCTTATAAATCTACTCTTCCATTTCCAACACTTACATTCTCGTTGTGACTCTTTGAAATACTGAGGTAAAATGCACATGGACAGTTTGTATTGGCTTCCAGAATTGTTGGGTTGTATTTATTTTAAGAATATATTCATTATTGATTTGGCCATTGCTACTGCAAACAGGCACCAGCCTTGCCTTATTCCTTTGCCTTCAAAGGATTTGTCTTTCAGATCTGCCAAGACATGGAATTATTCAGTGCAAATGTGGTTTACACAATATTTGTAGCATATTTTGAAAGTGAGATAATCTCATCCTCCTCTCGCAGATGTTTTCAGATTAAGACAGGGAAGTTTCTCTGTTCTCTGCAGCACGTGTGAGTCACTCTTTGGAGTGTGGGACATGTTTGTGTTTCCAGTGCCATGGAAACTGTGTTTGCTCTCTGTACAGTAGAGCCCAGGCCAGTGAAAGGGCCATTGATCCCAGCAGAGACGGCGCCTGCGTGTTCACCACGGAAAACTGCACATTCACCTGCCCTCTGCAGAGGAAAGCTGCCTGGGAGTTACCAAGGAGCAGCAAGTCTTGGGAGCAGCAGAATCTTCCCCGTTGCTTCAGTGATGTCCAAGCTGTGGCTCTTCCCAGCGAGCCTGTGCGTGGAGCTGCCATAAATAACGGTGACGAGGAGGAGGATGGTCCTGTCCTGCCTCCATCTGAGGCTCATTTCAGTGCCCTCCTGCGGAACGGACGGGGCTCCTCGTCAGGCACGTTCTTCACAAGGGTCAGGGAGAATTCCCCAGATTTCAGATGGAATCTCAAGCCCACGGGGGAGCCATCACAGGCACATGCATGGGTGCAGCTGCAGGTAAAAGCAAGCTGGCCTAAGGGACCGGGTCAGAGCAGCTATTTCAGCTCTGCAGAGAGAAATGCCACTATTTCACTCCTGTTGTCTTCCAAATAAATAATCATCATCCCAGTTTAATCTTCGATACCAAGATTTGCTACATTATTTTTTGAGCTCATGCGAGCAGGATCTAGGTCACGAAAATGCAGCGAGCCGAGCTGAAATGCAGGAGATGTTCAGCACAAGCAGTGCTGCACGAGGAGCTGCCCTGCTCCTTACTCCTGGCACTCCAGTGCAGGCAGAGCAATGCCAGGAGCTGGAATTTGGCTGGAGCAGCGTTAGAAGTTTTTATTTTGAGGATGGGCATAGTGAGGCTGGGGCATGTCAGAACTTCACATATAAAGGCCGCAAGTGCAGAGGCTGTATGCACTAAATTAGACTTAATGGAAGAAACAGTCATATTTTCGGGGCTATTTTATCTCTTTATGCACAAATATAAAAACAGCCAAAGTTCTGACATTACATCCTTACCTATCGTGGCTGGGTGTTTCTGCCCCAGTGGGTTCAAACAAGGATGGATTCAATTCAGGTCATGCTGCAGCTGAAGTGGGAGGAAATTCTGAAAGGTTTGTCGTCAGTGTGCAAGAAAGTCAAAAGGAAGGAAAATTCAGCGATAACCACGCTTGTTAGTTCAGCAGAGAACAGTCACGTGGGAGCCTGGAGAAAGCAGATCAATGAACTGAAAGACAACAAATGAGCTGAGCCTTCAGCTGTGAAGGGATGGATGTTCCCTCAATCAGGAATGAACGAGGCAGTTCATAGAAGTGGAATACTCCACTCTGAAGGAGTATTCTAATTTTTGCCTAAGGATCTCAGTTTTTCTTTTTGTCCTGAAATAAACCATGTAGCTTTCTGCTTCGGGGAGTTTTATTCTTGGCTCTGTACTTTCTCGGAGATCTGATTTTCCAGTGCACTGCACCATCTGCTCATGGTTTACACCACGACAGAGCGGAAGGAGTGCAGGGCCTGGCATGAGGTGTCAGTGCTGCTTTGAACCAGTTGTCTACACGCAAGAGAAAAATGCTGCTTAGTAAGGAAATTCTACTGAGAAAATATTTCAGATTTTTTTCTTCCTTTGCAAGTTCCCAGGAGTTTGGAGCACATGAATATGCCGGTCTTTTCTTTATTCTGTGCTCCTGAACTCCTTTATCAGTCTCCTGGGACAGGAGCAGCCCCGAGGCTGGAAAACGGATCAAAAGGATGTCCTTAGCAGAAGCCAAACGAGCCTAGGAGCTCTTCCTGTTCATCTGCCAGAGATCACAGATTTGGTGTCTCGCACGAGGCACAGGAGCTTGCAGCATCTGCCACTTGCCTTGTTCACGTGCGGGTGGCCTCCCGAATCCTTGACACGCCGGAGGTGAAGCATTGTGTGAGCTCAGTTCGGTCCTTCCAGCAGCCTGGGATTCGCTGTGCTGCCACAGTCAGATGTGACAGCATCAGCTCAGCCCGGAGTGCTGCGGGCACGGAGCTGGCCCTTCTCACCTGTGTGACACACGCTGGTGTGCCACCTGTGCCAGGGACACTGCCTGGGACATTCTGTGTGGGACACTGCCTGGCACACTCTCCCTGCACACTCTCCCTGGCACACAGCGCCTGGCACACTGGCCTGGGTTGGTCTCTCCCTGCTCACCCCCAGCCCTGGAGCTGCTCCCGGGCCCCACGGGTGCCAGCCCAGCCTTGCCAGCTTTCCCTCTGCCCGGCTCTCACCGGGCACGTGCTGGGGTGGGCTGTGGGCACCCACCCCCGAGCCCGGCGCGGGGAGCAGCCAGCTGGCCCCACACCCTGCCCATTTCAGAGCAAAAACCACAGCTGGGCTAGCTGGCTGCGGCCGCAGGAGACGCGGGGTGGCAGGTACCCGCTGCCACCATGGCACGGCCCCTTGGAAGTGATCCACTTTTTGATAAGGTCATTTCATCCATAAATTCATATCTCTACTGCCCCGCACTCTACAGAGCCTCGAAGAGAGCTGCTGTTCCCATGCTGAACAGATGGGAAACGGGAGCCCTGAAATGGGCGAGGAGACGGGAAATTTTGACCCATAATAACCCAGACGCTGGAAGGATCAATAAACATTAACTCTGGAGTGTTTCCCAAACACATGTGAAAGGGCAGATCGCAAATTTCCCATTTTAATTGGATTTTGACACAAAGGTCACCTTTCAAAAACACTGAAACTGATTTCTGTAAACAAACACGCAAACAAACCAAATCCTATTAACTTCTATGAAAAATGTTTTCCTCCAATAAATAAAGACCTGGAGAGGCAAAAGTTTTAGCCAGTCTATGTGAAATTTATGGGAAAAAACCAAGTAATTACGTTTTTAATCCCAAATTTGAAAACACCAAATATTATTTCTCCTCCTAACAAGTTCTTTAGCATTGCAGAGCAACTCAGACTAAATTATCACAGGGGACTCAGCATTTATCATCTAAACAACACATTTTGCAGATAAGATGAGAATAATATTTATTTGTGAGAGACACTCAAAGCTTCAAACCCTTTCAAATTCAGCGCGGTTCTGAAGTCTGGTGATCCAAAAGTGTTTGTATTATTTTCCCTGCTCGCCTGTCCATCTGTTTGGTGTCCTGCGGTGAGAAGCAATATTAGAGGTTGATCTGAGATAAAAGAATCCTGGTCTTGGAGGGGCTCATCCGTAGCTCCGACATCCCCACAGCCGGAGTGTGCGCAGACTGCCACGGGCTGAAACAGCGCCCACGGAGCAGCGAGGTCAAATAAATAAATTAACTTAAATTTTATTTATTTTAAACAAATAAAAATAAACCGCGCTGAGGCGCTCCGAGCACCTGTCCTGCTCTGTCCGTGTGTCCCCGCCCGGTCCCTCTGTCTGTCCCGCCCGCACCGCCGCGTCCCCCGCGCTGCCCGGGCGCAGGACGAGCATCCAGCCCGCTGTGGAGCCGGACCGGGGACACCGCAAGGGGGTGGCTCTGCAGTTTCTCCTGATCAGCGCCATGTAGGTTAATCCGCGCTTCTGGCGGGGTGGTCCGCGCCCGCGGAGCGACGTGCGGAGCGCGGCGCACGACGAGAACTCAGCGCCCCGCTCGGGCGGCGGCGGGGCCGGCTCTGGAGGAGCTCCGCCGGCTCTGGAGGAGCTCCGCCGGCTCTGGCGGAGCTCCGCCGGCTCCAGCGGGGCCGCGGCCGCCGGGGCCGGCCCGGGGGATGCGGCTGCCCCCGCACTTGCGGCTGCCCCCGCCCCGCCGCCCGCACACGCGGCCCCGGCGCCGCCGCGCTGCGCGCCCGGCCCCGCCGGCTGCCACCGCCCCCGGAGCCGCCCCGCGGACAGCCCCGGACACCGGGCAGCCCCCGGACAGCCCCCGGACAGCCCCGGACACCGGGCAGCCCCCGGACAGCCCCGGACACCGGGCAGCCCCGGACACCGGGCAGCCCCGGACAGCCCCCGGACAGCCCCCGGACAGCCCCCGGACAGCCCCCGGACAACGGACAGCCCCGGACAGCCCCCGGACACCGTGTAGCCTCCGGACACCGGGCAGCCCCGGACACCGGGCAGCCCCGGACACCGGGCAGCCCCCGGACACCGGGCAGCCTCCCGGAGCCGCCCCCCGGACACAGGACAGCCCCGGACAGCCCCGGGTCAGCCCCCCGGACCGCCCCGCACAGCCCGGGACTGCCCCTCTCCTCCCCTCCCGCGGCGGCCCCGCGCCCAGCCGGGCCATGGAGCAGCACCTGCGGCGCCTGCGGCAGGAGCTGGTAAGGGCCGGGGGTCGGGGCACCGGGGGCGTCCCGGGGGCGGCTTTGGACAGCTCCCGGTTGTGGGTCGGGGGTCCCAGCGCTGTGAGCGGGGGCAGGTCCCGGTTGTGGGTCGGGGGTCCCAGCGCTGTGAGCGGGGGCAGGTCCCG